CAAATACTTTGGCCACCAAATGAGAAGGGAGCACTCACTGGAGAAGACCCTGATGCTGGGAAAGATTGAACGTCATATAAGACGGGGACAGCAAAGGATGAGATGGTTAGACAGTGTCATAGATGCAACGAACATGAAACAGAGCAAACTTCAGAGGACGGCGGAAGACAGGAAGGCCTGGTGTGATCTGGTCCATGGGGTCGCAAAGAGTCAGACTGGACTGTGCGACTGAACAACAACCTCATATGAACTGAGTATTTGTCCTGGAATATATCTCAGAATCCTGGAGGTCTTTGTCAGATGTGCAGGAATTCCTCAGCAGGGAAGTTGTAATGAAAACATTTTCTTGAAGGTAGAAAATTTGAAAATGACTATTCTAACCCAACCGTATTTAATAAGGACATTGCTATATAATTCTTACCCCAGATATAAAGTGGAAAGCTTTCAAGATTTATGGTGGGAATGAGTTGCAACAGCTGCAGTTTTCTTCCCTGAGTTTTTGAACACCATTTGGATTATGATTCCTGATTTTGTGTCCACCCTGTTCGAAGCTCCTTTAAAGTAAAAATGGAGGGGGGAATATTGATATACTCTAGGGGAAAGCCCCATGATCTGTCTGAGTGATAAACATCATTTTGAAACATAGGAAGGTAAGCATATTCTAAACTAAGAGTCAGATTTTATTGCAGTGAATGTGTGTTACTGCAGAATGTTCTTTTACCAGTAAACTTTAATGCCATCCCAAAACAGGAAACTTTGAAAAGACTTTTGTCTTATCTTTTCCACCCCACCCCCAAGTACTGAAACCTACCATGAAGAAACACTGACAGCTGAATACAGATGTTTTCCTTTTTGATAAAGGTGCTCTTAGAAGCTGAAGTTGTTTTCTTTGAAAGCTGTTCAGAAGCTCAGAGTAGAATAGTGTTAAAGGCAGAACATCTTTTAGTAAAATATTCACATAGGCTTTCTCTGCATTGCGCTCTCTCTCTCTCTCTCTCTCTCTCTCTCACACACACACACACACACATGGCCTAAATATATTTCCAAAACAACTAGTTTTGAATCCAGCTGGGATAGTGTGGCAATAAAAAGGATGTCCAGATCCACCAGTTTATATTGGTTTGATTTGGCTGTTGGAGTATTTAAAGCAGAAAGTCTATAGCATGTGTACACTGTCATTGGTATAGTACTCTCACTCATGTATTCAAGATGATTCCTCAAGATACAGTAGCCTCCAGATTACTACTTTTGTCATATTCATTAACAGTACAGAGGTTTATGATGAATACTTTTAGATACATTATTGCACTCAGCTGTTCCAATGAATCTGAAATGTCTCCAGCTGCATCTGGATAATCACATAGTCCAGAGTCTATCCACAGAAATCAGTTACTCTGCACACAGTGATCTGAGGAATGTATAGGTTTTGGCAAAGTATAGATATGCTGCAAACTGCTTCTGTTTGCTTTGGTCCACTGATCACCAGAATGAACACCCCAAGCCTGCCTTCACTGCAATTTAGGGATATGGTTGATGCTAAACAGGTTGTACCTTAAACGTGATTTGAAAACAAGTTGCTTGACACATCCTGATAAAGAGGAACTTGGTTACTGTTAACCATAGCTAAAGTCAGCACCAGCATATCCCTTTACCCTTTTTTATTTATTTCTATAGATATTTATACTCCACCTTTCTTCCCACTGGGATTTAAAGCAGTTTACAACACTCTCCCGTATTCCATTTTATTCTTAAAACAAGTTGGTTAGGCTGAGAGAGTAACTAGCTATGACGGACTATATTTAAAATGCTATTTACCTAATGCAGCAAAATCAGAGAAGGGAGGTGAATAGTTAACTCTGCTCTAGAATGTTGAGCTTGAGTGACAGGCCGCTCCTTTTCTCTGATTGGCCAGCACCAGCTGAGGGAAATATAAAATCAGCTGGGTGCTGAGGGGAGAGGGAATTCATTTTGAGTTCTGTAGCAGTTACTGTTCAGTAAAGTAAAAGTTCAGCTACAGGAGTGGATGTCTGAAGAGTCTGACTAAGAAGTCTGTCAGACAGGTTCACCTCTTGAATAAAGGGAGAGGCTCCTGCTCTTAGCTGTGTTAAACATAATCTGAGAAAGAATTCCATCTAAGAATTCAGAGTCTAGTGTCAGGTAAAGCTGAAGTACATTTTAACACAGACTCCAAGAACTAGGATTTGAGATTTTGGGAAAGAGGGTAGCAGGCTGAAGATCCCAATCAGGCCAAAAGGAATAGGACTATATTTTCAGGGAAGAAATATAAGTCCTGTCCAGTTACACAGGGTATTGGCACTGAGGCAATCCCTGGTCTCATAGGCGTCAACTTCAGGGGGGCTGAGGGGCGCGAGCTGTGCTGAACTTTTCCAGCCCCTCCCCGAGCAACCAGCACCCAGGCAGAGTTTTGTCATACCCCCACCCCCACACTATTTTGAAAGTGAAGGGTTTTTTCTGTCCGCTTTCTGAGACTTTGGGTGGGTTGGGACTGGGAGGGAAGTCAGGGCGGGGCTTGCTTCCTGCCCCACCCCCAGCTCCCAGCAGCCCTCAGTTCAGCTTGGAGGAGCTGGAGGCTGCACATGGAGTGGCTTTGCAAGTGTGGGGGGGGGGGGTCGGCCACGGGGGTAGTTTGCTCCCTAGTCCCCAGCTTATGCTACAGAGACTCAGAGCCCCTGGGATGGGGGGAGGTGTGCCTCTTTGTTCTCTGGTGCCTCCGCTGCCGGGCAGCTGGGCCATGCATGCTCCAAAGTGTGTTCCTGTTAAGGTGAGTCCTGTGCGCTACGTGCACTAATTTTTACTCCTGAGCACACAGCTGTTTGGCTGAGCTCAGGATGATTAAATTCTCTGGCTGCTTCTTTCCCGGGCTGCTGCAGTCACAGCTTGCTCAATTGTGGTGGGCGGGGTGGGAGCGCTACAAACCCGAATCCCCCTCCTTCTCCTCTGGAGAAGGAAGGGAGGGGGAAGGAGAGAGAGAACATGCCAGAGGTACAAGCTTTCCTGTGGTTTTGAATTTACAGTAATTAGACATCTGAGGAAGTGTGCTTGCACATGAAAGCTTATATTTTGAATAAAACTTTTGGTCTTAAAGGTGCCACTGCACTCAGACTTTGTTCATCTTACTCTCAATTAGGTTCTATCCCCCCCTTCTATTCTGTTTTGTTGTTTTACTCCTCTTTTTTAAATTTGTTCTCAATTTGCTCTCAGTGTCTTTTAAGGTCGAGACTGACAGGGAGTGGGACATGTATTCATTTTCTTTCCCCATAAGGGTAGTAATTTTAAAAGTGTTGTTTTTAACTTTAATTCTAATAATCTCAATTACCTTTATTCTAAATAATAAATTATCTAACTAGCAACAGTCAGATTGCAAAGCCTCTGTTAGGCCCAACATATTTGCTGGGCTCCAATTTACATTTTTGGGGAAAATGTGTCTCTATTTTTTGGGGGGGGTCTATAAATCCTTGATTGAGAACAGTTGGTTTTTCCCCGTGGTGTTTGGGGGGGGGGCAGCTTCAACCAACCATCCTAAGCACTTCTTTCAATTTTCATTTCATTTTTAAATGGTAAGCCTATCTGCAAGAACAAGGGACAACACAAACAGATCAGAGGCCTTTTAAATTTTCCTTTTGCCCTGTGTGCAGCCAGAAAGATCATTGGCAAGAAATGTGCACTCTGTACATGTTCATGCTGTTCATTTTGCTGTTACTTAAAATGGTGTAGTACAGTTTCAAAGGGACAACTAACTGGGATGTATAAAAGGAATGACAGGATTGCCCATTGGAAACAATGGGAGATGCCTGAAGGCCTATTGGGAGCCAGGAGTGCCAATTGATTTGCATGGGCTCCACTGAAATAACATTACAGCACAAAAAAAAGTTGCAAAGAAAATGTGGAATGGTTTCTCCATTAAGGTCTTTGGGCCAAGATAGGCTACTCTGGGACTGGAATGATAGCCCCCAGAGTGGAAAGACAGTCCCTAGGAAGAGTATCTGTGCTCTGGTACCAGAATGACAGTCCCCAGAGTGGAATGATGATCCCTAGCAAAAGATCCCTAGAAAGAATCTGTGCTTTATTAGTTGTTGTGGATTTTCTGGGCCATATGGCCATATGGCTGTATGGCCATGGCCTTGGCCTTGTAGGACCTAATGTTTCACCAGCAGCTGTGACTGGCATCCTCAGAGGTATAACACAGAAAGATGGAGTACTCTCTGTGTCAAGGTGAGAAGAAGAAAAGAAGGCCTTGACACACCTTCTCACCTTGACACAAAGAGTACCCCATCTTTCTGTGTTATAAGGTAGCAGGGAATTGTGAGCCCATAGAGATTGTTGAGTTCTTTAATGTGGCTAAGACATCAGAGGAATTGTATCTGCACTACCCCTTATATTATTTAATAATAAGGATATAGCAGGATGCTAGGGGAAAAAAAACAGTATCAGACTTGGGCCTGAGAGATCTGGGTTCAAATCCCCACTCAGGCTTGATGATCACTGAATGACCTTGGCCTGCTCACTCTCTCTCTGCCTAGCCTACCTCACAGAGTTAAGCTGCCATTAAGTCCTTGAAAGAAGAGTAGGATCAAAAAACACTGAACAGATAGATAAACCCCAATACAAAGCTCTGAGTTAGTGACGGTATGTACATGAATCTCCTGCCCTGCCATATGACTTTCCCCATTAAGGACAGTAAAACTCCACACATGCCCCTCCATTTCAACTGAATGAAGAAGAGTTTACAGCCAGGAAAGCTCCTGTGTACCATCCCCCCCCCCCAGTAAAAAGTAATTACTGATTCAGATGCAATTTTTTTTCTTCAAAGAACCAGAAAAGGTACATCATGTGGCTCCCCTCCATGGAGTGAATTATTATCAAGAGGTTCACTGAAGTATATATTTCTCCATATTTGTTAGGACATTTATATTTTCTTGACAGACATCTTAAATACAATTCTCACACAAGCCAATATGAAATATGTTTTTCTTTTTCAGGTCTGGATGTTGATGGAATATACAGAGTCAGCGGCAATCTGGCAATGATACAGAAGTTACGATTTGTTGTCAATCAGGGTAAGTAATTCCTTCACCATGATAATGTTTTGTTTAGTACTTATCTGTCTGAAATGACAATACAATGGATTTCAGAAACTGTGGTACGTTAGTGACATGGAATGATGAGTGGCATTTTGCGGAAGAGTGATAGAGAAGCACATATAGCAATCAGAGAAGGGGGGGGCGAAGAGCAAAAATAATGCCATAAAGAAAACTGGGTGATAAAAGAAGACAAATGAAAGGGGGGGGAGAGGATGGGAAATTAGAATCTGAGGGATAAATTAGTGGTAGAAATAAGGATTTTGTTAAAAAGAAATGAAAACTCAATATTGGGAAGTCATAAAAACACAAGAAAAATCTAAAGAATCATAGGGAAGAATCAAAGAAAAATTAAAAAAAAAACAGAAAGGCAAACTCAAGACGCTTAACTTATATGTATTTATGTGTGCGCATGCATGTATGTGCGCATGGACGTGCATGCGCACACAACCTGGACCTCTGGCCACTGACCCCTACTGGGGGCCTGGAGGATATTCAGAGAGGTGGCTGAATAAAGCCTGCCCCCGCCTCCCGACTGCTGGCATTCCAAGGAGGTTTCCCATCCAAGTACTTGCCAGAGTCGACCCTGCTTAGCTTCCAAGATCTGATGGGACTGGGCTTTGCCTGGGCTATCTAGGTCAGGACTCAAGACACTTAATTTTAGAATAATGGAAATATGTACCAAGATGTATTTAAGCTTTTGTTTTTATTATTGTATTGATTTTCTCCAATAGTATAAAATAAATGTAATATTTTTCAATAGACCTTTTAAAACATTTTAATTCTACTCTTCCTTCAATGAACTAAGGTTAGGGTAAATGGCTCTCCCTGCCATTTTACCCTCACTATGATGCTATGAGATAAGTAAGGCTGAGAGAGTGACTGGCCCAAAGTCCTACAGTGAGCTTCATGACACAGTGGGGGTTTGAACCAAGGTGTCCCCAGTCCAACATGCTAACAACTGCAGCATACTTGCTTCCAGTATGCAGAAGCTGCAGAAGGCTTCATTCTATTGCAACCCAAGCCATCCCCAAGGTTTTAGTGCTGCTGATGAGTCCTGTCCATCCTGGCTTACCATTTTATAAATCACACAAGAATGAAGCTCTGAAAGGCAGATATAGTCATTTCCTATGTATTTTCTATGCAAGTAAGTATTTCTGGGGGAATAAAAATGCATACAATAAAGTCTACAAAAGAAGAGATGCTGCATTGAATTATTCAGGTCAAAGCAGCTGCCACACTTCTAAATATATTTACTATAATGAGGAAATTGCTGATTGTCTCATAGTATACAAACATTCCCGGTCACTAGTAAGATTAGATGCTAAGTAAGTAAATTTGATTCATACCTTTCAGTTAAAATGAACCTGAATAACTTTAGTTTTAGCTCCTGTACAGCAACTATATCTTAGTTTAGGGACTAATGGCAACACTATGGGGAATTTCACATTACCCAGTTTCACCCGCTTTCAAGCTGGTAATGATCCGTTTTGAAGTGAACCGGTATAGGGCTGCCATTTCACACATGGCTTTCCCCTTCCGGTAAAGAGCTGGATCTGAAGCGGTTTGCCATTTCAGACTGCACCACTTTTTCCCGCTTTTCCCCTGCCGTTTTTCGCCCGTGCGGGCAATCTCTGGCTTTTTTTTAACGTTCGCTTTAGAGCGCTATAGAGCTATAGCAGTATAACAAAACACTCCATGCATTCCAATGGGCCTGATATAATGCTATTCCGTTATAACATTATAGCGCTATAGCGCTATAAAGCAAACGTTTTTTAAAAAGCAGATCGCCCGCACGGGTGAAAAACGGCGAGGAAAAGCGCATCAGAACCAGGAGAGGAAACTGAGGAGTACTTGGAAGCGGTTGACAGGTAAAACGCTTCAGCCCCGTTTCCAAAACGGGACAGAAACGATTGTGTATGAAATGACAAATATATTCCAGAAGGGAACCGGTTCTCAAACGGCTCTGTCTGAAATGACAGACCAGAAACCGTTTGGGAACCGTTCCTCTTCCGGATTATATCGTCTGTCTGAAATTCCTCTATATGAATGCACGGGGTTCTTTTCCTAGAACTCTCCCACAGATGCAGTATCTCTGCCAAACTTTCTCCCTCCCCCCTCTCCCTCCCCCTCTCCCTCCCCCTACTCTCTCCCTCTCTCTGGACTGTTCACACACCCAGATTTGTAGAATTACAGCAGCTTCAAAAGAGTTCATTGTCATTGTACAAATAGTAGAGATCACAATCCACGTAAAGGTTCATTCAAACAGCCTATGTGTGAATGCTGTGGGAACATGTGGCAGCCCCATGCCTCCTGGGGTACTCATTTGGTGGCTTCTTCTTACTATATGATAGTACTTCAGTGGTATGTTGGCTACAATTCACAAAGCCCACATGTTCAACGGGCCACTCATGGCATGCACCAATGTTACTGCATTAGGATCCTTATGACCTGGGATTCACCAAAATTAAACATTTGTGTATTTTTTAATTACCTCAGTAAACATATGCTGGTTGCTGTGCTTGGACGTTAGTTCTGTTAGGCAATTGCAATCATAAATTAGCATTCACATTCTTGAACCTGTTTTATCTTTGTGTTGTGATTTTGTATGTTAAGTACTGTGAAATTGCATTACTGCAGCTCTTGACTCTTCTTGTTCTTATGTTTTAGTTATGTGTTCCATGTTGCCTTATTTTAAGGTTCATATACATATGACATTTATTTCCAAAGAATATTTTCAAATTATGAAGACAACTGTGAGGCATTTAAAAGGCGAGGGAAACCTACCCCTGAAAAGGATCAAATTCTTCCTCGATGTAACCCTACTGAAGTCTGTTTAAAATATTTCTGTGAACTTGTCATCAAATATATACAAAGGATCTCATCACTTTGAGCTTGATGGAATTACACCAGGGATGAACTAAGTCCTACATCTCTGTATGAAACTGAATTGCCAAATCCATCCCAAGCCACCAAGTCAGTAAAGTCATTCAACTTAAAAAGGCAGTCAAGAGTTCTTATTTCTCCATGCAAGCTCTAGTTAGATATCACTTTTTCCTTTTCCCAGAAGTACAGTTTCAGATGTTCATTCTCTGTTCTTTTTGCTGCTTTAAAGTACTGTGGGAAAGTCCAAGTGATTTGATCAGCCGTCTCTTAATACACACTTGTAAGTACCATCTTTCCTCTTGCATTTCTAGCCATTTGGTATACAGTTTTACTAATTTGCAGGGCAGGCTGAAGTGGATTTTCAGTGGCAAAGACCAGTGAATCTAGGTGATGTGGCCGCCGTCTTAGAAACAGGAAAACCCATGTTCAGTTCCCTGCTCTGCTGTGAAACTTATTGCATGGGCTTAGGAGACTTCTATTACTGTTTTGGTAAAATACTGTTCTTAGAAAAAGGTTGGAAATCAAATACAGCAACTCCACTACAATAATTCTTTATATCTGTATAAATATAGTCCCCTGCAATATTTTACCAGAAGTCAACCAAGTTACAACCCTCCAGTCACTGACTTCCACATTAGTTCCGTTGGTTTCAAGGGGACAGGGCAGACCAGACCATAAAGTTAGAGGATTTAGACCTTCAGGCTGCAATCCTGTGCATATTTGCCATGGAGTAAGATCCATTTACCCATTACTCTTGAATGGTTTTAACATTAACTTTTCTGTTTTTCATTTTGTTTACGGAAATGCAATGATGTTTCACATTTACATCTGTTGCTAATAAGTGGTATGAAGAATAGCCAAACAGCGTACAAAAACAATCGCCACCCATTCTTATGTTTCATGCAACAAGGCCTTTTTGGCTTATTCTGGACAAATTGCTGACACTGAGCCAAGTCTACTGAAACCATAGAAAGGAGCTGCTTAGGTAATAGCAGTGCATGGAATAGGTGTGCTTGTTCAGTGTTTCTCTGACTCAGTGTGGGACCACAGCAGGAGCTGCTTAGGTAATAGCAGTGCATGAAATAGGTGTGCTGGTTCAGTGTTTCTCTGACCCAGTGTGGGACCGCAGCTGCTTCTTATCCTCCAGTATGAAACTGAATGCCCCTGCACATGTGGTGGGTTTATTGTGGCCCCTAGAAAGTATAAAGTGAGGAAATATTGCTTATTTAGTCTGAAAATGCTTCTGTATGATGCATCACTCCCCCCATTATTCTACTTGAAGAGGGGAAAATGTGTTTTTATGTTTAATTTGCCCCTCTCATTTTTCTTTCGTGCAGAGTTTAATGTTCTTGTTACTATTACTCAGTAATAAGCATTAGCCAACACTGCATGAAAAAATCTGTTTAAAATGCCCCAGATTGAAGAGGTGATCAATCCTTCCATGAGGAAAATACTTGAATGTTCGTTTCCTACACATTTGGCCATGTGTGAGTCTTCCGTTGAATCCCCTGCTCTGTGGAGTGCATAACAGACATTAATTTCGACTATTCTTATTTCCTTTTGACTGGAATCTTGAACCAGAGTTGAACATTTGAAACGGCATAGAGAAAGCTTGGGAATGTCAAGGGTATCATAAGTACTTTTCTAAAGAGAATGAGCTTCTGACCATTATCACAAGCCCCTATCTCTTTGTTGAGGATATTATCAATAGGATCAGAAAATGAATAAAAGACAAGCAGGCAGGAGGACAGAAAGAGAACAAATATCTAGTGATTGCTAGTTTTCACAGTAAAGCATTTTAGAAAGTGTCTTCAGATGTAACAGACCCCACTTTTTAAATAATCTTTTTTAAAAAAACTCATTGAATCACCGTTTGCTGTTGACTGGATCTTTTATTACCAGAATCAAAAGGGTGATTTTGTACTTGCTGACAATGGCCACAACAGAACAATGTACCTTATTTATTTTATAATGGTACATGAGATTTTTGTTGTTGTTAGTATAGAAGCCTGTTGATATGGCACATTCTTGGACTTCTGGATCACAAGATTATCTTTTATCAGCAATTTGTTTTTCTTATTAAAAGCTAAAAG